ATATATATATATTTAATTTATTTGCATTGATAACAGTAAAATCTGTTTTTACATCCTTTTTTTAAGAAGTGTTCAGAACGCTTCCCAACTGGTATTAATCAAAACAAACAGACCCGTGTGGTTTATACAGCCACATTACATTCATTTTTTGATTCTCCCTGACATTCATATCCACATATAAACAGATGAGCAAATGAGACCTTTTTGGAACTTGAGACCACCTGCAGTACAACTAGAGCCATTACTGATAGTTTACATGTCCTCAGATGTAAGCATATACAATCAGGGCCGGTGTTTTAAAAGATCTGCCTCGTTTTGAGATGTGCTAATTGGTTGATGTTCAGCGTTGTCCTGTGGTGCCGGTGGATACTCTCTTATTGATGTCAGGCTTTTAAAAGACAGCTTGGCTTTCAGAGGGTGAGGCACGTGACAAAGTTTGACATAAAGCTCTCCGATATTGGAGAAGAACCTATAATTCTTTTGTTTTATTATTGATTAAATATTAATTAAATTAGTGTTTTAAATAAATGAAATTAATAAATGTTATTTTAGTTTTTCATCACCATTTTCCATCCTTTTCTTTTAAGCCCTTAAATTAAATGGGTCATTATTTGATGCTGTTCTTTAAAGCTGCAGTTCGTAAGTTTTGCCTCTTTGTCGCCATCTCTGTTTGAAAACCTGTAATTGCAGCTGCTTGCAGAATTATCTTCTTTGCATGGGTCGTGCACCGGCACAGCTCCAGCGCGGATGAATCTAATGTTTTGAGGAGTATGTGTGGCAGTCAGTCACTGCACCAGTGTGGATATTTACTGTACTTTGCAATCACAGATTCTAGCCTATGTCTTGGAATATATGACCCAAATAATGGGTCGTGCACCGGCACAGCTCCAGCGCGGATGAATCTAATGTTTTGAGGAGTATGTGTGGCAGTCAGTCACTGCACCAGTGTGGATATTTACTGTACTTTGCAATCACAGATTCTAGCCTATGTCTTGGAATATATGACCCAAATAAGAATTTTCATCATATATTGTCATCTGAACAAATAAGTAACAAGTCTGCCTTGTTTGTTCTGACCAACTGAGGAAAAAAGCATTACAATAAATCGTGCTACAATGGTGATTTAATCTAAAGATCGGTTAGCTCATATCACATCAAACCGTGCAAATTATTATTATTGTTATACTTTATTCTCAAATTATTAATGTTAACAACATCAGCATTGCGTGACTATGAGTATAGTGTGTATTAGCGTGTAGATTTCAATTTCTGCACAGTCTAATCTCTAATAGTCATACTATTCAAATTTCATATTAAACAAATTCTGCTCCCTTTAAACTGGTTGTCTTTCAAATTCAAATCTTGTGTAATCCCATGTAGGCTATCTGTAATCAGAAGCACATTTATAACTGCAATGTAATTTAATTTCATTCACATGTATTTCATAAACACATAATCCGATTACAATCTGCCATCAAAATTATACATTTAATTATTCTAGCTGCTGTGAGAAAAGGCTATAAACGATCGGTCACCTGCAGGATCCTCACATGCGATAACCTAGTAGCCGGGACAACTTCTTTATGTTTACAGATGTGACGTAATGACGCAGCGGCATGCTCGAATTTCCCGCGAAAACCTACCCGTACCACTCAAATTAGAAAAAATTATTATAAGCTAACCGTTGTGAATCGGGCTAAAGTAAGGCGATAGTTTCGAACACTGGCTGGTTAGGCCTACTTGCTCAAATATTGATTTTGGATAATTTTTAACCAAAATAATTTACGGACTGCAGCTTTAAGGTATTTATGTAAACAGCTTATTCACACATTAAATGATTATTTATTATTTTCATGGAATCTTATTTCTGCCATGGAATAAAAATCTATAAAACACAATTGTGACTTTTCATCTCAATTCTGACTTTTTCATAACTTATAATTTATAAGTTTATATCTCACAGTTCAGGCGTTTTTTTCTCTCAGAATTCTGAGCTTACATCTCAAAATTTTAGAATC